GTTGAAATATTTTTTGTTGTTAGCCAGTAATCAATAATTGGTATACAATAGCGGGTTACACTTATTAGAAAATAATAATAAAATAGAAGACATTTTTAAGTACTAATATTAAATTTATTTCATTCACATACACACACACACACACACACACACACACACACACACACACACACACACACACACACACACACACCGATAAAATGATTGAGTATATATTTAAATATTATACGAATGTAATATTAAAAGCCCTCCCCCGTCTACCCTTATACACGAGTTTCAAATTTTTATCAACTCTACCGTTGAATTCTAATATTTCTTCATCCTCGAGATGTATGGACTTCGATTCCCCGCATCACCTTCGAGCGTGCTGATGACGGTCTGTCCTTACTGTGTGTCCTGGTTGACCATCTTCAATACTGGGTATGGCCTGTCGATCGTGAGATCTCCCATGGACACAAATTGAACGCTTGTTTGTGTGACCAACGTCTGCTTTAAAGAGTCCATACTGTAATATTATACCCTATATAATATTCAAATTCAGAAACTCACCAACCCTGGTATAACTTCAACATTGAAAGGATATTGTTCGTATAATAAATCCGACATTGTTTCCCACTACAACGCTGCTTGGGATGATGATATTAAAAATGTTAATAAAGATTTTATCGAGAGCGGTGTGTTTAACGGATGCATTAACCTCAAAGATTTGTTTGGGTTTTGTGAAGATTATAAACGTATTTTAATAAACTGTAATCAACAGCTGATATTGAATAGAGCTTCGTTAGATATAAATGCGATTAAGCAGTATAAAAATGATCTAGTTGTTGTAGACGCACCTAAACTGAAAGACGTTAAAATAAATATCACTAAAATATTGTGGAGAATGCCTATAGTTAAGGTTAGTGATAAAGAAAAAATACAGCTGTTGAAAGTAGTAAGATTCAAAGTAAAATTCAAAGTGAAATATTCGTATGGTCGCAACCCGGGCGAAGCCGGGGTAACACCTGCTAGTTATAAATATTTGCAAGCCGAGAAGGTGTGGTTACTATGTTGAAATATTTTTTGTTGTTAGCCAGTAATCAATAATTGGTATACAATAGCGGGTTACACTTATTAGAAAATAATAATAAAATGGAAGACTTAAGTACTAATATTAAATTTATTTCATTCACATACATACACACACACACATCGATAAAATGATTGAGTATATATTTAAATATTATACGAATGTAATATTAAAAGCCCTCCCCCGTCTCCCTTATACACGAGTTTCAAATTTTTATCAACTCTACCGTTGAATTCTAATATTTCTTCATCCTCGAGATGTATGGACTTCGGGAGATGTACCTCAAGGCGATTCCCCGCATCACCTTCGAGCGTGCTGATGACGGTCTGTCCGTACTGTGTGTCCTGGTTGACCATCTTCAATACTGGGTATGGCCTGTCGATCGTGAGATCTCCCACGGACACAAATTGAACGCTTGTTTGTGTGACCAACGTCTGTTTTAAAGAGTCCATACTGTAATATTATACCCTATATAATATTCAAATTCAGAAACTCACCAACCCTGGTATAACTTCAACATTGAAAGGATATTGTTCGTATAATAAATCAGACATTGTTTCCCACTACAACGCTGCTTGGGATGATGATATTAAAAATGTTAATAAAGATTTTATCGAGAGCGGTGTGTTTAACGGATGCATTAACCTCAAATATTTGTTTGGGTTTTGTGAAGATTATAAACGTATTTTAATAAACTGTAATCAACAGCTGATATTGAATAGAGCTTCGTTAGATATAAATGCGATTAAGCAGTATAAAAATGATCTAGTTGTTGTAGACGCACCTAAACTGAAAGACGTTAAAATAAATATCACTAAAATATTGTGGAGAATGCCTATAGTTAAGGTTAGTGATAAAGAAAAAATACAGCTGTTGAAAGTAGTAAACCATCAGAAACCTCTGAAATGTGCATTCAGGTCGTGGGAATTGTGTGAATATCCATTTCTACCTCAAAACACTTCACATTCATGGAAAGTAAAAACATCTAACAAATTAGAAAAACCACGGTATGCTATAATCGGATTTCAGACTGATAGGAAAAACAGTATGAGTAAAGCAATGTCATGTTTTGATCACTGTAAAATCAAAAATTTGAAGGTTTATTTAAATTCAGAAGTATTCCCGTATGAGGATTTTCAAAGTGACTTTACTAAGAACAAGATGGCTACATTATACCGAGCATATGCTGAGTTCCAGAAATCCTACTATAATCGATCGGATTTCAAAAAAGTATCACCGATTATAGTTGTTGATATGAGTAGACAGAATGATAATGTGAAATCTTCGACTATCAACCTTAGAATTGAGATTGAGACCGAAGAAGCATTTCCAGCATCTACTTCAGCATATTGTTTAATCTTACACGATCAAATTATAACTTATAATCCATTTAATGGTGAAGTAAGAACATTGTAAATATTGATTGTAAAACTTAATATTATTTGAATAAATGAAAACATATTATATAATATATCATGCCTTTTTATTTCACATAATTTTTTTAAAACATTACAACTATTTAAAAGAGTTTGCTCTTTTTTATTCTGTGAAATGGTTTTGGGAACGTAGCATACGTTGATTGATGTTGGAGAGGTGTAACGAGTAACAATTTTAAGGTTCAGTGTCGGTTCTGGTGTACCGTGCATGTAACACAGTGCACACACTGTCCTAGCGTGCAGGATAAATTGTTTATGGTGCACATTCTGTGCTCAAGGGATATTAAATACGGTTAAAAAAAAACCGTTTCTACTGGGTGCAGCTGTGCAAACCATGTACAGTGCACCAAGGGTACAACCATGCATAACTTGACGGTGCAGTTTAAGTGTATTGGTGTCTGTTTGAAACCATTCTTATTTTGCGTACATGCTATTATGATGCTACGGTGCACAACGAACACTGTACATCGAATGTGTGACGGTGGACAAAATTACCGTGTTGTCACCGTACAGCGGTGTCCATAAATATTGTTACAATACATATTATGGTACCTACAATGGTATCACAGCTATAGGTATTATCCAATTTATAATAATATGTTCTTTTTTATTAATTATAATAATTATAATAATATTTAATAATTATTATGTTCTTTATTAAAATCTTAATATTGTGATAATAATATAGGTACTTATTTTTTTATTAAAAGTTTTAATACAAATGTACAATTAAATATATTATCTAAATTATAATAATATGTTCTTTTAGATTCTGAGTGAAACGATGAATGTATTGATTTTACAATGATGTGTGTTTTTTTTTTTGTTTTTTTTGTGTCTGTGTACACGATAAGTAGTTGAAATAATGCTTCGATTTTCGACTTCAGTATCTTGTTCGATTGGAAAGTGAATATCATTGGTGTATTGAGGAGGACAAAATTTAAAATTCCCAGTACTTTTCAAAAGCGCCAAGAAAAACAAAAGAAAAATTAAGGAAAAACGGGAATTTTTACGCAAAATCGAGTTTTCAGAAAATTGAATTTGGTTTTTGGTGTAACTTTAAAACAAATGACCGTAGATACATGAAATTTTCACTGGTTGTTTATATTTGCATTTTCTATACACGATAACAATTTCAAAATATTTTGATTTATTTTGTACTGTTTAGGGACATTTTCATTTTTCATTTTTTTTTATTTTTTTTTCTAGAAATATCAATAAAATTTTATTTGTTGGTTAAAATAACTTGAAAATTTAATAAAAGGCTCCTAGTATATTGTTTCAAAGGCGGATGAAAAATATTAAAAATCGTTAGTCACAGTTTTTTTTTATAAGCATTTAAAGTTCAAAAATTGACAAAATATGGAAAAATCACGAAAATTAGCAAATTATTTTGAGTTAAGAATTCGTAAAAATTTTTCTTTTTAAATCTAAGGTTTTAAAATGTAATACAAGATTCCTCATAAGTTTGTCTACCTTTATCAAAAAAAAAATTTCTATAAGAAAGTCAAATTAAATTTTTATGAGCGTTTTAAATTCAAATTTTTACAACATTGGATATTCACTCGATTTTTCATGTAGCGATTTCCTTATTTTGTTGTAATTCAAAAACGAATTATTGTAGATACATGAAAATTTCACTGAATATTTATATTAGCATTTCCTATAGACCATACAATTTTGAAAATATTTTGACTGTTTTTGAGCTTTTACCGGACATTTTCAGTTTTCAATTTTTTTAGTTTTTTTTTCTATAAATATCAATAAAGTTTTATCTGTTTGGCCAAAAAGTGTAAAAATTTAATACAAGGCTCCTGATATATTGTTACAATAGCAATCGAAAAATATTAAAAATACATAGCCACAATTTTTTTTTATTAGCATTTAAAGATCGAATTTTGACAAAATTTATCAAAATCTCGAAAATTATCAATCATTGTAATTAATAAATTATGAAATGTTCAGTTTTTATAGCTAAGGATTGCAAATTTAAAACAAAGGTTCTCATAAATAGTTCATACTATAACCAAAAAATCTAAAAAATATATGAACACAGTTATTTTTTACAGACATTTTAAATTCAAATTTGGACGAAATTACATATTAAAAAACCTTGAATAACTATTTTAGTTATTTTGTTGTGATTGAATTATATTATTCGTGGGTACTTGATTTTCTAAAGTGTACTATTATATATCTATGATAGTATCACGGTTTTTGTTGATGTATAACTCGTTATAAGTACCTAATGGATATTGTGATATGATTAATTTGGAATTTATTATAGGTACCTATTATAGGTCATTTTTTTTTTATAATACCATAGAAATGTTTATAATATGTCTTATACCTATACTGACATACCGCCTTCGCTCAGAATCGTTTTTCCTATACAATGATAATGATAATATATCGTTGAATTCAAATTTAATATCATCCATTATACAGTGACCCACTTGTAACCTACTGTACAGCAGAGCATCTTTTTTATTAATTATAATTACATGTTGAATGTTTATGCTTACATTTTTTCTTACATAATATTATAAAATGTTCTACATCAAAATTTTAATATTGTTTTAATAATGTAACTATTTTTTTTATAACATACAAGTTTTTTATTTTTTTTTTTAAATATGGATATATTTGAGTTTTAAGAAATTTAAATATACTTAAATGTAACATTTTATAATATAAACTGTTTAATGTTATTTAAATAACAATGATCAAAAAGATTTAAATACTATAGAATCGCCGCACAAACATATCTAAGATAGTGGCCCGGTAGGTAGGAATTAGGATTACCAACGCATAGGTTGTTTAGGGGTTCCTGGTTCGAATTCGACATCTCGCAAAAAAAAATTTGCTTGTTTTACGTTTTTTATTTATTTTTGTCACGGTATGTGCACGGTATTTTCAACACTCCTACACGGTTACGGCACTGTACCTTTTTCACTCTCGCACGGTTAGAACAAAGACTCTAGTCTGACAAATGAACTATAATTTTAGTTGCACGCTAAAACGGTTCCTGAACCGACTATTGAGTTCTATCGGCACGGTGCTTCCCATGTAAAAAATCGGTATTAATTTTGATCAAAAACACAGTGCTGTGCACCGTTATAGCACGGTAACAAAAACCTAAAAATTGATGTAGGGCACCCAATGTGCACCAAAATTGTTACATATAGATGTGTTGAAAAAATCAGGACCATCGTTTACATCAAATGACTCTAGTAGTTTACCAATTGTATCATATGACTGAAAAAAGTATATAATATATATAACAATTATATATTTATTATTATTATTTTATAAACTACCTTAACTTCGAAAACATCCTCCTCCTCATTTTGTGTAACAGATGTATTGTCTATCTTGATGTTTGGTGGTGAGGTTGGTGAAATCATTGTTACATTTCCATCAAATAACTAAAATAATTGATACATTAATTATTTTTTCATAAGTGGTATAAATATATTTTTTAGCTTACTTCTGGTGACATATTTTCCTTATTCCACCGTTGTATTGAATGTTCTGCTAATTGTGTAAATGCTAGCATTTTGAGTTGACTGATGAAATTAATATCATGTTTGGGGCTGCTTGTAACAATATGATCATCACTTATATTTTTAATAAATATAATCATTTCTTCACTCGTTCTTGGGGGTGATTTCACTTTGATAAGTTCTCTATCGATATATTCGGTAAATATTTCAAATTGATTTAAGATGATTGGTTGCATGATAGTAGATTTTCGTATAATCGTTTCAAAAATACACCATTCCAGATATTGAAGACGTATGAGTTCTGTATGATTTAAAAGAATTCGACATCCATCATGTATCTTTTACTCTACTACTAAGGTGTTTTCACCACTGTACATCATGCTAGACAACTTGAAATTCTCCGTCTCAAGAAATATAGTTCTTTTATATTTTCCTGGTTGCTCCAAAATAAATGATAGGATATTACCCATCAGTGAAAATATCCGTTGTAGAAAGTCGGTTGAAATAATA